TAGAATAGAATAGAATAGAATAGAATAGAATAGAATAGAATAGAATAGAATAGAATAGAATAGAATAGAATAGAATAGAATAGAATAGAATAGAATAACCCTAGAACATAATAAAATTATCCTGCATGTTCCAGGGACAACCATGCACCTCTGTTCTCTTTAAGCTGAATGTTTGACACAAGTACTCTGCAATGAATGTGTTACTGACAAGACAAAGGACCAGCTTCCCATCAGACTCCAGGAGGTCCCATCCTAACCACAGGATTCCCAAAAGGAGGGACACAGTGCAGTGAGCTGCCTTCTCACAGACCTGTGTTCCCATGGAATCACAGATTGGGTTTGGTTGTGTTGCCCAAAAAATCAGATTTGTGACCCACTCCACAACAGCTCAATAACCACACACTCAGCAAAGACATTATTTATGTCAGAGTTGCACAAGCCTGGATGCTTGGTGGAACTCCCCAAATCAAGCATACCCACCAGAATTGTCATGCCATTATTTGTACACAGAAATTCAGAATTAGAAACTTTCCAAGTACAGCTCTCTATTGGGAGTTCCACACAAGTGACACAACCCCAGCTCAATTCTACACATGCTCAGGGGAAGGCTCTTCACAAGGGTCTTTTTGACCTGTAGCTGTGACTTTCAGTATTGCAAAGAACATAATTCAGCTATAGGATACATGGACCTTGAATATTCTGCCAGGTTAGCAATGTATACATAGGCACACATCAACATCTTGATTCACTACATCCTTAAAAACTTCTTTTTCTGCTGATGTCCCTGAGTAAGAGATGCTAACTGCAATCTGCTCCACTACCATACATCTTTATTTATTACTCTTGTGGTTTAGGGATGGTATTCTCCAATTTAGTAGTCTTGCTAAAATAAAAATCCACACCAACACTGGCTTCCCCTTCCCCTCCAGCTGGAAACACAAAAGTCAAAGATCAAAGATTGAGATAAGAACAATTTACTGGAAACAGCAATGAGACAAAAAACAAACAGTGAAAGCTACAATAGCAATACTAAAAGCTGTGAGGCAAAGAAATTATTTACAGGAAAGTGAAACAATTTCAGATGATTTCACCTTCCCCCAGGGTTTTTCCCACTGGGATTAACAGCCTTCTTCCTGGAAGCAAGAGAGAATAAATATGGAAAGGACATGAGCTGGAATGATAACACAGAGGTCTTGCCCATGTCCCCTCCTGCTCACCTGGGCCAAACCATGACAATTACATCTTTAAGGCTTGTTATTCCCAGATGTCCTTGACTAGGGGAGGCAGCTGCTGCCTGTTCCACTGGTTAGGGCTCCTTTTTTACTGAATTAGGCTGGGAAAGTACAGTAATATATTTGTCATGGTTTGACAATGGTATTCCCCATTTAATGCTTCAAATAAAACCATGTGCTGCTCTCATCCCTTCCCCTTCTTCTGTGGAGGGCTGTGGAGGAGAATTGTAGGCACAAAAAGCAAAGATCACAGGCTTAGATAAGTACAATTTACTGGAAGCAGCAATTAGATGTCAGTAGAGAAAATTAGAAAATGGAGTTACCCATTGCATCATTTAGAATATTTAAATTGTGCCTGTGTGTTGCCTTCTGATACAAGGCAGGCGGCCTGGTTTCAGGAAACAGCACGGCGGCCCATTTCCCCAGGGCCGCTCGGGCCTAAGAAACACGCAGACACCAATGTGGTGGAGGATCAAAGGCCTTTATTCTCTCTTCCCGTGGGGTTTTATAGTCTAGGGGGCTTCTACATCAGGTGGGGGTCTGTCTTTACCATCTATGGTTAGTAGGGGATGGAAAGTTACCTGGGCGAGTGGAAAGTTACTGGAATCCAGTTCGGGAGGCTACATTCCTATGTTAATTTTCTTATCTAAGGGGGCAGGGGCCCTGTCTTCCCGTAACATCACGAGATCTTCCGAACGCCAGGCCCTATCTGCTACACCTGTGTTAACACCCTGTGAACAACCATCTCCCACAATCCCTTCCCACATCCAGCCCTGAGCAACACCTCTCATTTTGGGCATGTTGGGAGAGGATCTGCAGGGGAATAAATGAGAGGGAGACATGGACTGCGATGCAAAAGAACTTTAATGAGTCAAAACAGGAAAATTAGGTCAATCCAAGGTGAGGTGCCAATGCAGAGAGCACATGGGGCAAACAGCACTCTCTTGTGTTTTCCAAGCAGGTGCCCACAAAGGGGTACAGAGCCAGCAGGTGCTCCCCAGGATGGCTGAGTGGGACTCACAGCCCCGGGGAGCACAAGGGAACAGGGGCACAGGAGGGAAAGGAGAGAGTGGCAGGGGACAGAGGCAGGGGTGGGCTGTGCTTGCCAAGAGCCCAGGCTGGCCCTGTCCCTCTGCAAGGGCTGCAGGGCTTGCTCAGCCCCTCAGGAAGCACCAAGGCGATGCTGCGTGCCCAGGGCGGCTCCATCCTGGCACTGCCTGGGTTCCTTCCTCAGCAGCTTCAGCAGGGGAGGCCACAGATGCCACTGCCCAGGCCAGAGAGGCCAAAGCCCCCAGAGCTGATGGGCACTCCCTGAGAGCTGAGGATGCTGCCAACAGCAGCAGAGCTGGAGGATCCCACGGCGGTGTTCTGGGGGAAGGAGCTGAGGATGGGCCCAGGCAGGGTCACCACCACGGGCGAGGGCTGGATGAACACGGTGGAGTCCTGGCACTGCCTGACACAGGGCTCATTGCAGCTGCTGCCCAGAGGGGTGGGCCCACAAGGCTGGCAGGGCTGGCACCGGGGGTAGCAGGACATGGCTTGGGGCTGCAGGTGCACCTGGGAGAGAGAAGAGAGAAGTAAATCACAAGGAGTGGGTGAGGGTCCAACTGTTACCTCACCGTGAGGGAGCCAAGGCACAAGCTGGGAATGAGAGCTGAAGGCTGTTTGAGGAGGCACATGGGCTCTTGCCCTCAAGCCCAGGGATGTCCCCAACCAGCCCAAAACTGGGGCAATACTTCTGCCAAGACCCAGTAATCACACACCTCCCACTCTTTTCCTGCTCTCCTCCTCCTGCAAGATCTCACATGGGACAAAATCACAAGTATGTGCAAGAAATCCCAGAGAAGAAGGAGAAAATGGAGAATAGGCTTCAAACTCACCTTGTTCCAAGGAGATGGAGGTGAGAGGAGTGGATGTGAGAATGGGGAGAAGAGCCTCCTTTTATACAGATCGTGCATTGCCCCAGGCCCATAGTCCTGCACAAGGGTGGTAATTTTTGAACAGACTCATCTTCAAAGGAAAATATCCCTTATAGGGGCAGCGATTCACATTTTGTTTCCATCTACGCTGCCATTTAATTTCCTCATTTCCAACATTCCTGCCCTGCATTGCAGGATCCTTTCATGTTCTGTGATGAGAAACAAAGGATATCCCAGGCAGAACCATGTCAGCAAGGGCACATGACCCAAGTGCTAGATGAAGGCTGGGAATGTCTCTTTAGGGCAATGAAAAGCAGCTCTTTGCAGCACCCCTTGCAGGAAAAGTCCTTGTCTCACACTGCACATGTCAGAGGGCATCCAAATAATCTGCTTTTTATGGACTTTTCACTTGCTTCTCTCTTTTCCCTCTCTCTCTGTTCTCTGCAAGGGTCATGAGCTGCAGCATGTCCAGGCAGCCAGGCTGTGCCAATGCTCCAGCTCTCTTCCCCTTGATGCCCTTTGCTCTGGAGGGGATGTTTGCCAGGCTTTAGGAAAGCCAAAGCCCACCTGGACATGAATCAGGAGAGCACATGGAGGGGCAATGTCTTCTCCAGACAGGCCATCAGTAAAGAGAGCCCTGAACACAGGTAGCACCAGGATTCACCAGGGCAGCTTCCCTGAGGGCAGGGGGTACAGGAAAGGTGAACATCCTCAAAGGTTCATGTCCTTGGTCTTTACCATCAGGAACTGCTGTCGGGAACTGAAGTTCTCGGTACTGCTTGGAACAACTGGAACAGAAAAGATTTCCCCAAGCAGAATAGAATCCAGTGGGGGAACATTCAAACACACTGGTCTGAAATGAGTGTGTGTGAACTGATGTTATGTGTTCACTGGTGTCAGTACAAAGCCTTTCTCAACTCCCTTTGAAAGTCACAGCAACCATGGAATGCACCTGAGAGTTGGAAGAAAGCCAGTGAGTGTCCTGTCTTCAAGAGAGGCATGAAAGAGGAGTCAGGGAAGAACACGCCAGTCAGACTTTTCTTGATATCTGGAAAGGTGATAGAGAAAATCACTACAAAGTCCAACATGCAGTGCTCAGGGTGGAGGTGTACTCAGAAAGGCCCTGGATGCAAAACCAGATTTCAAACTACACCAGTGAGGGATGCTCTTCCCTGCCCTGCAGACATGGAGGCAGCTGGGCAGCGTCCCAGGAGGGCAAGGGAATGCCTTCAGTAGGCAAATTTCCAGGGACAGACTCTCCTGACCCATGGAGAGTCATGCTCTAATTGTGGTGTGAGGTCAAACCAGGAGTGTGTGATGTCTGCAGGCTTTGTGCCAGGCAGGGCTGAATTCCCTTCCAGCAAGGGTAGCTCCATCCATAACCCTGGAGAACCATCTTCAAGCACTGGAAAGGCAGGGAAAGGCCTTTGCCCTCAGCCTGACTTGCTTGGCAGCACTGCCACAGCTCAGGGTGTTTGCAGAATTGACAATGTGTGGCAGGACTTTGTGTGTCCTGCAGCTTAGGGTGCAAAGGGTGCAGACACAATGCATCTCTTGAAAAGAGGGGTAGAAAAGGCACTGTCCCAAGAGTGAACACATCCCTCAGGCAGTCAGGAAGTACAGAACTCCACATGGGTCAACTTGAGCCTTGATTCCTGCCCATACTATTTTGTTCCTGCACAAGAAATCCTTGTACTTCTCATCCCACTACATGGTAGAAGCCTCCATGACTTAGTGGGAATGTCAGAAATGGGGAAATTAAATGGCAAAAAGATGAAAACCAAACCACAATCTGTGCCATTGGGTAGAATGTTTTGCTTTGAGATGACTGTGTAGGAAAATTACTGTCCTTGTGCAGTGACTCTGGGCCTGGGGCAGTGCAGTAGCAGTATAAAAGCAGCACCTTCTCCTCACTCTCTCATCCACTCCTTCAGCTCCAAATCCTTGGGAACAAGGTGAGTCTGAAGCTTTTTCTCATCCTTCTCCTCCTGACATGGGATTTCGCAGTCTATACATGCTTTTTTTTGTCTTATATGGATTCTTGCCATGGGTGAGGAAAAGAGGCAGAAGGGATAATATGGGGAAAGGCTGGTGCATGTGTGAGGTGCTTACAGAGCTATGGAAAAGACAGGGATCTTCCTTGGGTAGCTCTTGGCAGAGCTTTCTGAGGAAAGGAGAAGCCTGTGGGTCCCTATACAGCCCCTGGGCTTGTCTCCAGTTCATGCCTTTGGTCCTTCATGCTGGGGTGCCAGGCTGATCCTCACCCAGTCCTTGTGCTCTGCTTTCCCCTTCTTTATCTCACAGGTGCATCTCAAAGCCATGTCCTGCTACCCCCGGTGCCAGCCCTGCCAGCCCTGTGGGCCCACCCCGCTGGGCAGCAGCTGCAATGAGCCCTGTGTCAGGCAGTGCCAGGACTCCACCGTGTTCATCCAGCCCTCGCCCGTGGTGGTGACCCTGCCTGGGCCCATCCTCAGCTCCTTCCCACAGAACACCGCCGTGGGATCCTCCAGCTCTGCTGCTGTTGGCAGCATCCTCAGCTCTCAGGGAGTGCCCATCAGCTCTGGGGGCTTTGGCCTCTCTGGCCTGGGCAGTGGCATCTGTGGCCTCCCCTGCTGAAGCTGCTGGGGAAGGAACCCAGGCAGTGCCAGGATGGAGCCGCCCTGGGCACGCAGCATCGCCTTGGTGCTTCCTGAGGGGCTGAGCAAGCCCTGCAGCCCTTGCAGAGGGACAGGGCCAGCCTGGGCTCTTGGCAAGCACAGCCCATTCCTGCCTCTGTTCCCTGCCACTCTCTCCTTTCCCTCCTGTGCCCCTGTTCCCTTGTGCTCCCCGGGGCTGTGAGTCCCACTCAGCCATCCTGGGGAGCACCTGCTGGCCCTGCACCCCTTTGTGGGCACCTGCTTGGAAAACACAACAGAGTGTTGTTTGCCCCTGGTGCTCTCTGCATTGCCACCTGACCTTGGATTGACCTAATTTTCCTGTTTTTACTCATTAAAGTTCTTTTGCATCGCAGTCCATGTCTGCCTTTCATTTATTCCCCTGCCCAGAAGAGGATCAAGACTAATCAACAAAAAGAGAGATTTAATGTGTGAAATAGAGAGCAGCCAGCAAACTGTATAAGTCACATCCAAGTGTTAGAAAGAAAACTTGCTCCTGGAATTGACTTGTTTAGGTTTAGGCTGGACATGCTTCATTGATCTCAGAGCTAGGGAGAGGTTAACAAAGCTTGTGAAGGAGGGCAAAACACTGTACAGGACACCAGGAATGTAGAATTTATAGCCTTTAAGGACATTGGGCAGAACTCCCAAGATAAGGAAGAAACTAACAAAGCCAACTCAGCAATTGTGTTATAATCAGCTCCAAGTGGGTAAAAGATAATTCCAGCAGGGGCAGATCACAGCTACCAACACACAGACCACTGACCCAGAAGAAAAGTACTGAGCATATGGACTAAATAGCATGAGAAATGAGAGACTCATTAGCCAACAGAAGATAGAATACTAATTAATAAAAGAGCTGTGTTACATGTAGCCAATGAACGACCACTCTCCTTTGTTTGCTAAAATGTACAAGCAGTAAAAAGTTTTAATATTTGGCCTTGTGGAAGTCCACTGAGCACCCAGGCTTGTGCCACTCTGACATAAATGATTGATATTTCCCTCGAGTGTGTAATTATTGGCTTGGAATAATGCACCAGGTAATCAATGCAATTTTTGTGGGCAACATTATCAGTGTTCTTCCCACGCTAAAGTCAAAGCACAGCACTGTGCCAGCTACTGTGCATTTGATGTGTGACTTTTTGTCCTCCCTTTAATCTCTTCTCCCCTCTGTGTTGTTGCCACCAGACAACTCTGTGCTATAGATACATATTATAATATTGGCTTTTTGCAAATATTAAAATGGATTTTATATGTATGGTATTAAAGTAACTTTGTCATAAAGATATAAGTTTTATTTCTGTTGTTAATGAAGCTTAGACATAGTAGTGAAACAGCTGATATCAGCGGGCTTGTGTTAAAATTGGATGGGGTAACACTCAATGAACACAGGATGAGGACACGTGTACAGATCTGCCAACATCAGCACTCACTGTCTGAGGACAGAGTGGACCAAGCCCCAGAAACTGGAGGTGATGATAAAAAAGGACTAAAAACAGCACCCAAAAATACACATGATCTGAAAAGGTGAATACAAGGAGCAGCCAAGTTAAACAATAATTGAAACATGTAAACTAGTTTGAGGGAAAAGCTTACTCTGCATAATTTATGAATATGCAACAAGCTGATGTAATTAAAAGGTATTCAAGGGGTATCTCCGAAGTTCCAGGGTC